GACATCCCAGACCCACCTGGACGTGTCCCTGTGTCACCTGGGGGATCTCCAGAGCTCCCTTCCAACCCCAACCATTCTGATTGCAGCAAAAACAGATGGGTGGGATGCTGGAGGTTGGGAAGGATGTTGAAGGATGTCAGAGTCTCTTTATTTTCCCCTCTCATAACACACCAAGCAYGGTTCCTGTCTGTCCTGTGCCAGTTGTCACCATTGGGGATGAGCTGCTCTCGTTTTCAGGGATCTCCTGCTGCCTCTGGGAGCTGTTTCTCTGCATGGAATGGAGCCAGACCCWTAATGTTCCCATAATGGAAGAGCTGTTTGTCAGTGCCTTTGAAATGGCAATTATTAAATGCTTCGTTGTGTGCAAACCCCATTCTTGACRGGGCTGGARTAACAAAGGCAGGGYGGGGATGAGCMGAGAGTTTGTGCYATCCCTGAGGATCCAAAGTGTTCCTTTGGCCAGCAGCTCTCTGGCAGCTCAGAGCTGCATAACCCATGAAATCTGGTGTGGAAGGAGCACAGGAGAGGAGTTCTGTGAGTGGTTTATTATTATTATTTTATTATTATCATTATTATATTCCTCCATGCTGTTAATTCTTGGAGCTGCTTTCTTGTCCTCTGCATGGGGCGCAAGGTGTGAGTATTCCCACACTTTTCCCTCTGGAAAACGGGAAAGCCCCACTAGTAACAGCAGCACTGAGCAGTTTTGGTTGGGATGAAGTCAGAAGGAGCTTTTTGGTGTTAATTCCTCCCKGTTTGGGTGGTTGGAGGTGAGTGGGACCAAGCCCTGCTCGTGTCCCAGTCCCGCTCCCATTCTGCAGGAGCCGCCTTCACCTCTCCCTCCTGCTCCTGCCATCARCACAGGGATTTTTATCCTTAAAAGATCTTAAAAAGATCTTCTGTTTCCCTGCAATCAGCAGCTAATAAAGGAGAGATAATTCAGCTTTTCTGCCTCATCTTTRCTCTCTAGGAGTTGCTCTGCTAAAAGTCCCCCTTATTTTCCTAATAAATTCCAGGCATTAGTGATTTATATTGGGTTCAGATCAATACTCTACAGGTGAAAGCTCTACCATTCCCAATTTATTCAGCAATCCAGGCTCAGCCTGGCTTTGGAATGGAAATTTTCCGTCAGAAAAACAACCCAACCAGCTGTTCCTTGGGCAAATGTGTTTTATACACAGACACTCAGCCTGCTTAAATGAGCTGAGTCTCATTGCAGTGCTACATTTGGGATTGTGTTGTCTCAATTTCCCTTCCTGCAGCAAATCTGGCTGGGGGAAGGGAAAAAAAAAAAAGATGGAAATCTGCTCAATTGTTAAATTTTGGGTGTTTCTGAGCAATGCTCTTCGAAAGTGCTCTAAAGCTTAAAGAAACAGAAAGCACCTCGTGAGCAGAAAACAAGATTTTTTTTGAAGAGAAAGGTGTGCAGCTGAAGGAARTGCTAAAAAGCCATTTCAAATGCATTAAAACTTTTGATGTTTTCAGGTGAGTGTGGTCATATTTGCTTGATTTAATAATTCCTGCAAAAGYTGACCTTCCTGTCATTGAGCTCTTCAGTTGTTGGTCCTTTCATGTGCAGGAGGACAATTCCAACCTCTGAAAAGTTTCAAGGTGGCAGCAGTATTTTAACCAGTCCTTTTTTAGTGTTTTCCCAATCCGGTGAAATATCCTAATAATCATAGTAAAATGAAGTTTTTTTAGGGCCTGCCAAGCAATTAATTTCAAAATGTTCCCGTTCCTTATGCTTGATGATCACATCTGCTTATTTTTYCCTCTGAAATTCTCAAGCTGTCTCTTACCTGGATAACACCCAACAAGAAACTCTGCCTCGCAGATCTTCCAGAACTCCTCACTCTCCAATCCCCTGTTCCTTCTGAAATATTTAAATAATCCCATCTGCTGTTGTTTTTTGCGTTGTATCCTCSTGTCTGCCACCCTTCCTTCCTGCTGCTTTCCTCCTGGATCCAGGGGTTGCTTTGGATGATCCAGCAGTGAAAATTCAGTGCCATCTGAACCTGCTCTGGTTTGGGGGAGGAAAGGGGAAAGGGGAGGGAAATCAGGCTCAGTGGGATGTGGGGTGGTTGTTCCCTGCAGTTTTGGGCCCCTCTGTGTTGCCTTTTCCTCCTCTGGTTTAAGGAGGGTTCATCCTTCCTGTGCTGGAGCTGCATCCTAATTACCCTGGGTACAGAAAAACCTAAAAAATATATTTTTTCTCTCTTGTTTTCCACTTTTCTCATAAAAGCTTGATATTCTTTTAGTGATCCTTGCAGGTTAATGTGGTCCAAGCTGATGCATCTTGCAGGAAGGATCAGAAATTGCAGATTTGCAGTTAGAACAGGACAGTTAGGAGGTGTTTCTGGTTGGGATGTTTGATTTCCTGTGATCCCTCGGTGAAGAGCTGCCCCTGGCAGGTGAGGTTGGCCTTGCTGGGGTGATTTGGGCTGATCCCAGCATTTCTCATCCTGCTCCTCTCCAATAATTCATTTTTGCCTTCATCACTTCCAGMRSMCCACACTCACATCACCCCTGGTTCMCTGAGCCATTGGGATTACTGGTGAGCTTTGCAAAAACCTGTTCTTACTTTAAACCATTTCTCAGGCCAGGAGGGACTATGGGATTTTATTTACATGACAAGAAGTTTCCTCTGCTGTATTTTTTTTCTATTCATTTATTTTTTTTTTTAGCTGCAGACCTCCAAGTTAGCTGYTGTTTGAGAGGATTTGTTTTAATATTGCTTATCTGATGATGATTAAGGAATCCAGTGTTTATAGCATAAGCTTTGACCTTGATGTTGGTTCAGCTGGGCAACGAGATAAATGATGAAGAAATTTCTCAGCAAAATCACCCCTTGTTATTTAAAATTAACTCTTGGAGATGCTTTTCTAAAGCTGATGCATTCTTTTTCAAGAGACACAGCTTTTTATGAAATTTTAGCTGCTTTAGCAATATTGAAAGGCTGTTGAGGTTTGGATTTTGGCTTTTTTTTAGCAGCAGACTTGTTTGTATGTCTGGAATTTAGTCCTGCAACATTTGACAAATAGATGAGGAGAGAAATAAATGTTTAAAACAAAACTGAAGGGTGGGAACTTCAGACTTGGGTCTGTCAATGACAAAAAACCATAAAAGGGATGGGTGCAACTCAGCTTTGATAAAAGCTGGTTGGCTCTGAAATTCATTAATGGTAAAACATTGTAATAAGTTATGTAATTATGTAATTTTATTTCCTTTTTTGTTTWTTTCTCTCACTAATTCTTGGTGCTACCTGCACTAAAAGAAAGCCTAAATATTGATCATTTGATTGATTTCCTCTGGGTGTTTTCATCAACACAAATTATCCTTAAAAAAAGAGGATTTGTGTCTAAAAAATTTCCAGCAGAAGATGCTGCTGTTACACTGGGCTGGGTGACACCACACATCTTCAAGTTAAATCTTCATGTTGTGGTAATTTTGCTGATCAAACAGCAAATTTTAAGCTCAGTATTATAAAAAAAAATTCTAACTTAAAAAACCTCTTAATTTCTAACAAGGAGCACTTGGCTGTTGTGTGCAAGGCAGAGTCAAAGAGGTTTTTTAATATTCTGTAACTCAAGGACTTGGCTCCTCTTCAAACATCCCCAGCTCCAAAAGGATGGGAATTTGGAGAGTGGCTGTGCCCCCTCTAGGGGCAAAAATGTGGAAATTTGTTCTGCAGGTAAATTCAGACCAGGGGACAAGGTTTGGATGGAGCTGGGGGTTTCACCACAGCGAGAAGGGATTTGGGATTTGGGATTTGGGATACGGCTTCCTCAGTTTCCCAGGCTCTGCCTTGAATCTTCTCTCCCTTGAACTCCTAAAACAATGTGGAAAATGTGCTTTTCCAGGGAGGTACTTGAGATCAACTTTATAAAATAATGTCTATTTTATAAAGTAAAATCTATTCTATAAAGTAAAATCTATTTAATGAAGTGATGCTGTGAAAAGCTCAGCTTGTATTCAATACTTTGGCGTGTGTTGTAATTCCTGAGCTGTGCTGTGAGCACACCCAGGYTATCCAGAGGAATATCCAGATTATCCCAAGGGAATTTAGGGAAATCAGGATCGCTGCTGACACTGCAGGGCTTTGAATGAGGGATTCAGAGCTGCTGTGGGGCACAAACCCCGTGCAGCCGCAGCCCTGGGTGGCCGTGTTTGTTTGTGCTGGCAGTGCTCACTAAAACACAGTCCTACAGAGCCATCCCAGYAGTTTGGGGATGCTGGAGGAGTTACAAAATCCTCCTTTCACGGTGCTCTCCTGCTTTTTCACAGCTCGGGGTTGGCGCAGTGGAACGGGGCCAGGTGGTGTTGGCTGGGCTGCTGCTGAAAGATTCCTGCTTTCAGTGACCCCTGGGAGCCATCCCCATCCCTTTGGGATCCACATCCCTGTGTTTGGGATGCTCAAACCCCATCCCTGTGTTTGGGATCCCCATCCCTGTGTTTGAGATCCCTATCCCAATCCCTCACATTTGGGATGCACATCCCCATCCCTGGGTTTGGGGTGCACATCCACATCCCTCCCATTTAGGATGCTCATCCCCATCCTCCCATTTAGGATGCTCATCCCCATCCCTCCCATTTAGGATGCTCATCCCCATCCCTGTGTTTGGGATGCACATCCCTGTGTTTGGGATGCCCATCCCTGTGTTTGGGATGCACATCCCCATCCCTCCCATTTAGGATGCTCATCCCCATTCCTCCCTTTTAGGATGCTCATCCCCATCCCTCAGCCCAGCTTTGAGATCTCACCCTGCTTTATCTGGAGGGATAGGGCTGTTTGGCTTTTAGGGGATGCTTTTATCTCCACCCCAAGTTTCTGTGTGCAAACCAGCTGGAGCACTGATGGTTTTATCGTGCTTCTTTAAAGCTTAAATTCAGATCTCACCTCTTGTGTGCTTGAGCAGCAGGGTGAAACTTCCCACAGTGACCATTCCAGTGTGAATTTAACAGGAATTCCCAATCATTTTCCCCCTTTTTCTCTCCTCCAGGTGCTCTTACAGAGTGTTACGATGAACTGGGCAACCGCTACCAGCTCCCCGTCTACTGCCTCGCCCCACCCATCAACATGATCGAGGAGAAGGGYGACCTGGAGACTCTGGACATCCCTGACCCCCCTCCCAACTCGGGGCAYGAGTGCCAGCTGCGCCTGCGCCTGTCCACGGGCAAGGACCTGAAGCTGGTGGTCCGCAGCATGGACACCGTGTACCACATGAAGCGGCGGCTGCACGCCGTGGAGGGAGTGGAGCCGGGCAGCCAGCGCTGGTTCTTCTCTGGGAGGCCCCTGGCTGACAAAATGAAACTGGAGGAGCTGAAAATCCCAAAGGACTACGTGGTGCAAGTCATCGTGAGCCAGCCCTTAGCAAATCCCACCCCGGTGGAAAACTGATTTCTGCTCGTTTGGTCRATTCTTCTCTTCCTGCGTCTCTGTTGTGGGGTTTGTTTCTGCTGCCCTCTCTTCTTTYGGGGTTGTCCTGCTCGTGGATGGGTTCCAAGAAATGACCAGCAAAGCTTCCATCTGTGATGGAGATCTGCAAAAACAGAAAAATGTAACGTGGCCTCGGGGGTTTGCCTGATCTGATAGTGAACACCACCACAGCAAGGGGAGGGAGAAGAGGGAGGGAAGAGATTGTCCTACACTTAAATCTGTCACGATCCTGAGRACTGTCGGTGGTTCCTGATCCATGAGGCCGGAGCAACAGAGAGCACTTTGATTTTAAAACCACCTTCAAACCGAATCGATGCATCCCGTTCCGTACCAGCAGGAAGGAGCCGGTCCCGGGGGTCACCGGGCTCTGATGGGGCTGGGGCRGTGGAGCTGGGCTGGGCTTTGCCCTCTGGCAGCTCCTGGTGACGCTCAGAGCGAGCTCTCCTACATTCCAAGGTGGCACTGTGGCCCCGTGCCAGCGCTGTGTCCCGCTGCAGGAGCTGAGCCTGGCTCCTCTCACTCTGTACTGTAACTGAGCTGTGCAGGGCTCCCTCTGCCTCAGGGGAACTGCCTCCTGGGCACTCTGTGCCCGCCCAGCTCCTGTCCCCAGGGTCCCCAGGGTCACCCGCAGAGGCTGTGCCCAGGGGTGCCCAGGTGTGCCCAGGTGTGCCCAGGTGTGCCCAAGTGTGCCCAGCTGTGCCCAGATGTGCCCAGATGTGCCCAGGGGTGCCCAGGTGTGCCCAGGGGTGCCCAGATGTGTCCAGGTGTGCCCAGGTATGCCCAGGGGTGCCCGGGTGTGCCCAGGTGTGTCCAAGTGTGCCCAAGTGTGCCCAGCTGTGCCCAGGTGTGCCCAGCTGTGCCCAGGTGTGCCCAGGGGTGCCCAGATGTGTCCAGGTATGCCCAGGTATGCCCAAGTGTGCCCAGCTGTGCCCAGGTGGCCGATGCACCGCGCTGCCCTCGAGCAGCCCCTGTGTCCCGCAGCTCTGGGTCACTCTGCAGATCCTCCCAAGATTGCAGCTTGTCCTGCTTCCCCAGAGGGCACAGAGCCAGGGAGATGGTGAGGATACAGCAGCTGCCAGTCCCCAACCTTTGGGGTGTCACTGGAAGCCACCCTTGGAGCTGTGGTGGCTCTCAGGACAGCTGGAGGTGTCCTCACCAGCCACCACCACCCCAGAGCGTGGCCAGGGCTCCCCCAGCCTGTGCTCTCCCTTCAGAATGTACCAGGGGCCCTCTCAGCACACGACAAATCCTTTTGGGGTGTCAGAACCCAGATCCTGTTGGGGTTGGGGGATCCCCTCGGTTCCCCCAGCTGGGGAGGCTCTGAGGCTGCTCTGCCCCTGCCTGGCAATGCCTTCAGTGGGATCACAGCCCTGCTCTTCTAATCAGGATTTCTGTTTGCTGGGGTTTAAGCCATTTCTGAAATCCCTTCTTCCGCAGTCCAGCGTGCTGTTAATGTGGGAAGAGCAGATTTTTATTGGTTTCTGTCTTCCCTCTCTGCAGGAGCGGTGCAAAGCTGCAGCGCTTGATCAAACTCCTGCGTTACACCGATCATTTCAAACTTCTGCTCCTCGTTAATTCCACAGAAATCAAATTTCTGGGACCCACAAACTCYGAGGGAGTTCTTGCAGCAGAGTCAGGGTGATCAGGGCTGGCTTGGACATCCCAGCAGGTGGAAGCAGAATTTCATTGATGGTTGGGAAACAGAGCCACATTTTGTTTGCATTTCCCACCCCACCCAAGGACAGCTTTTTTTGCTCCTCGTTTTGTATCAAATCTGTGAGTTTCTCACAGCTCCTTCATCCCCACTTGGTACAGGATGCCTGAAATGCAGTGGCAGAGCTGTGGAAAAGAAAACAAATTCCCTGTTCTCATAATCACCAAAGTGACTTGCTTTTCTTTTCTTTTTTCTTTTCTTTTTTCTTTTCTTTTTTCTTTATTTTTTTCTTTATTTTTAAAGGCGAAAGTGAGCTGATCAATACTAACCTAGAACAAGTTTTCTATGGTGGAGTTTTTTTTAAAGACAAATTTGATTTCTTCTCGTACTTGAGGTTTTWGCAGCCAAATCTTTTGCATTCCAGGGGAGGGGGGAGTATTTGATAGATAAACAAGTCAAAAACCTCTCTTGGGGTTTTCTCTGGGCAGAGGATGGTTTGATGCCAGGGAGACACTGCTTGTCTTATAAGGCAGAACTTCCATAAATGTCTGGAAAAATGCTTTTTTATGGTGTCATTTCCCTGCAGTCCCTTCTGGAAAGGTGGTGGATTAAGGAGGAGCAAACCAGGAGCTGTGAACACTAAAACACTGCTTTTTAATTTTTGTAGGTTATTTTTTTATTATTATTTTTATTTTTTTTTTCTATTTTCATTCAGGCAGTTGTCACCAGGTGCTGGTTTTGAGATGTAGGGGCTGGGATTGCTCCTCCTTCCCCCTCTGCCCCCCTGTTTGTTGGGAAAGGCTCAGTTTTATGACACTTAGAGATGATCATGTTTTATTTTAATTGCTTTTATGGCAGGGTGATGCTCTGAAGGCCGTGTTGTGAGTGGGTTTGGAGTAGAACAGAGATTTCGGTCATGAAAATTCTCTTTGCCATCCTCTCCCCTCCTCAATGACATATCAAAACCTGAAAAAATTCAATGGCAAAACGCTTTTAGAGGTGACAGTGAAAACTTTGACCCTCTCTGTATAAAATGACAGCAGTTCTGAGCACATTCCCTTCAGAAACACAATTTTACAAGGTTTGTGTTGGGAAAGGACTTTAAATTTCAAAATACATTAAAAAATATCAGCAACAAGCTGTAAAGGCACATGGCTGACAGGGCCACGGGTGGAACTGGAGGCTGTGACATGCACTGAGAGMACATTTGTGTCTCAAATGCCCTGAGTTTGCCCTAAAAGTTGGGGTTTTGTGCAGATTCCAGTGCAGGGGGTGGGCTAGGAGTGTGGGATGAGTTTTGGGGGCAGAGGGGATGTCCTCTGAGGGAGGAAGAATTGTCTGGGGGCAGAGCATGACTCAAATGGGATTAACCAGGTGGGGATTGGAGCTGCTCAGGAGAGGATGGGTAACCCCAGGAGAGGATGGGTAACCCCAGGAGAGGATGGATAACACCAGGAGGGGATGGGTAACCCCAGGAGAGGATGGATAACCCCAGGAAGGGATGGGTAACCCCAGGAGGGGATGGATAACCCCAGGAGAGGATGGATAACCCCAGGAGAGGATGGATAACACCAGGAGAGGATGGATAACCCCAGGAGAGGATGGATAACCCCAGGAAGGGATGGGTAACCCCAGGAAGAGATGGATAACCTCAGGAAGGGATGGGTAACCCCAGGAGGGGATGGGTAACCCCAGAAGGGAATGGATGACCCCAGGAGAGGATGGATAACCCCAGGAGAGGATGGATAACCCTAGGAGGGGATGGGTAACCCCAGAAGGGAATGGATGACCCCAGGAGAGGATGGATCACCCCAGAAGGGGATGGATAACCCCAGGATTGCAGCAGGAGGTGCTGGCAGCATGGCCAGGTTGGGTTTTGGCCCCTGGGTGCTGTTCCCCCCTCAATCCCGGGGTACAAACGAAGGGATGCCGCAGGATTTTAACGCACACCACACAGACCAGTGAGGAGGAACCAATTTGGGGTTCATTTGTCCCCCCACTGAGCCCTTYGTGCCATTCCTGCTCAGCTCTGCCTGGCAGCTGATGCCAGGAGAGAACCTTTTCTACCCTGTCAGTGACWGCTCCGATTTTTATACTCTTTATTGTCACTTCTGCCCGAGCCAGAAGTGAGGACCTGGTGAAAATCACCCTCCTGAACAGCTTGAAGRGCAGAGAGGCACCAACACCCAGAGCCTGCCAGGGCCAGGGAGCCCCAAAAAGCCCCAGGTACAATTTGGGGTGCTGCAGGAGGATGCTCAGGGTCCCCTTCCCCACCCAAGTGACAGCTGCTCCTTCAGAGCTCCCCAAATGTCACCGCCTGCCTTGGTGCATCGTGGTTTTTGGGGTCCTCTGCACAAAATCCAGCTTGGGATTTATTTCCTGAAAGCCTTCGCTTCTCTGGAGCTGGGGGATGTTTTGGGAAATGAAACGGTGCAAGTTGGCGGTGGAATAAATTGGGGTTTTAATAGACACCCCMAAAATTGGGGTGGAACAGCACCAAAAATCCTCAGCCCAGGAGCGACCAAACCAAGCCCAGCTTTTCTTTGCCTTCCACAGAAAGTTCCTTTGGGGAGGAAAGAGGGAATCTTTGGAGCAACTGTGCATAATGTTTGGTGAAGGTCAATTGATAAAATGATAAAATATTGCTGTAGTGTGACGTGCTTCTGCATATATATCCATTGCTAGTAAATAATGTAATTTTTTTTTTTTTTAAGTATTAAAAAAAATACTCTTTGTTACAATGGTGGGATGCTTTGAGCCATGGAGTTCTGGGAGCATTTTTGCTGTGTAGGTGTTGACAAAGTGAATGCTGAACGTTTCTCCATGTCTGTGATGCTTCAGAAATGGAAGGGGCAGCTGCATTTCTGCCTCTGGAGCTCTCTTTTCCAAACTTTTCCGTGTTCCCTGTACAGACATCCAAGATCCTGCACCTTATGCAGAGAATGTTTACATTGAAAAAAAAAAAATCCTTTTTGCTTTTTCCCTGTGCTGCTCAGATCCTGTTACTTTGAAAGTAGTCTCTGTCAGAAAAAGGGGCTTTTTTAAAWTTTTTTTTTGCCTTTGCCCTTCAGTACTTCCCTGCAATCACATCTTTCCTGGATCGTGGCTGGAAGCTCTGGGACAGCTCGGACTCTTGTGGAGCAGGAGAGGTGTTTGAGAAAGGTGTTTGAAAAACCCTGCTTTGGGCRTGGGGATGAGCTTTGTCCACTCTGCAATTTCCTTGGAAAACAGCACAACGTTCTCCAAACCCTCTGGATGTGGCAGATTCCCTGGAGTTGGAATTCCAGGATCCAC